AGCAAGCAAGCAAACAAACAAACAAACAAACAAACAAACAAACAAACAAACAAACAAACAAACAAACAAACAAACAAACAAACAAACAAACAAACAAACAAACAAACAAACAAACAAACAAACAAACAAACAAACAAACAAACAAACAAACAAACAGATAAATTAATGAGGTCAAATTAAAATTGTGAACATATATAGGGATTAAATTAAATTAAATTAAATTAAATTAAATTAAATTAAATTAATTTTATTTTATTTTATTTTATTTTAAAATTAAATAATAATTTAATTTTAAATCAAATAATAATTTAATTTTAAATCAGATAATTTAATTTAATTTAATTTAATTTAATTTAACATTTTTAACAATGATTTTACATCTTATTAATGTGTATTACCCCTGATTAAAAAAACATATAAATTAAATGAATTAGTGAATTGTCAAGGCACAGCATCACTTTCTGACTGGTCTCTTCACAGCCAAATCTGTCTGCAGGAAAACCATTCAGAAAATCAAAAAATCTGCTTATGAACTTCTGACCGGCAGATATTCGAACCAAGATTCAGAAGAGGTCAAGTAAAAGCTGTAGGATGAGTTCAAAAAACAGTTTTCAATTAAATTGTTGGAGAGAAAAATTGAGTTTCGTTTCAAGGCCTAAAGGTTGAGAGAGTCCGCCTGCATGTTTCACGATGAATCACAACAGCACAGAGTTTAAAGAAACCATTCGTTCGCCTTGATCCTATCAAACTTAGTGTGAACCTGTTTGTGATTGCGCAGACATACCTCTATGATGACATCAGGAGTGCTGATGATGGGAACGGGGTCGTCTTTGCTCTCTGTGTCATAAGAGAGCGAGTCTCCGTACGCCAAGAGCTGCAAACGCAAACAGACACAAACAGCAGCGAGGGTCAGCAACCGTGTCTGCTTTCAAGAAGAGGTCAAAAACAAGTTCAACACGCAGTGATTATTGATGAAGCCACACACACACACCTCTGCCTCTCTGAATAAAGCCGAGTGTTATTGAGTAATGTTACGCTGCAGGGCAAATCAGTGTGGTTAAATCAGACCAGCACACTGCGGGAGGAACTCCAGCGGGGAGAACTACACTGCACCGTGTGCTTTCTGCATCCAGTGCTGGCTTTCTACACACACACACACATGCATGCATACTCCTACACTTTACATCTCCCAAGATTGGCTTGGGTTTTACTGCAGCGGCCTTTGAGTGCAGCATTCACATCCAAACCAAACATCGGCCCACTTTCATATGTTCTGACTGCTCATGTCTAAAGGAAAGAGGAGAGACATTTGTCTCCTGACCAACACGTGAAAAACTATTGATTTTTCAGCACTGCGGCTGTCTGGCAAGACTGAAATGACATTTGGGCGAATCAGTCAAGAAATGCCACATTTCATGCCAAAATCAATAGAAACAATATGAAATTATGTTTGGCTTACACAAAATGAAGCCTTATTTAAAGGGTTAGTTCACCCAAAAATGAAAATTAGGCTGTGTTTTACTCACCCCCGAGGCATCCTAGGTGTATATGACTTTCTTCTTTCAGACGAATCCAGTCGTAGTTATATAAAAAATTGTCCTGGCTATTCCAAGCTCTATCATTGCAGTCAGCGGGTGTTGCATGCATCAGTCCAAAATAAGTTAAATAAAAAGTGCCCATCCATAAAAAAAGTGTCTCACACGGCTCCGGGGGGTGAACAAAGGCTTCCTGTAGCGAATCGATGCATTTTTGTATGAAAAAAACCCCATATTTAAAACGTAATAATCAATTTAATCTAGCTTGCTCTCACTGTTGAACACGGAAGCAGTTCCGGGCTGATGACGTATGAGGTCAGCTTTGCGCATGCGCCGCTCAGAAGTGACGAACGCGGAAGC